TTTGGAAAGATGTTAAAGATATAAAATCAGAACTTGAGTTGATGGAAAATTTTCAGCGATTACCTAAAGAGAGAAAATTCCAAGAAACAATTTGGTATCTTACTCAAATATCTAATTATAAAGAAGGGTTGAAAAATTTGGAACAAGTCATTAAAATTTTTCAAGATTCACATGATAAAGAAAACCAAATTGGAATTATTTATAACAGTTTGAATGAAGGGAAATTGTCATTAGGTGTTTTAATAAGTTTCTTTAATAAATTCAATACAGAATTTAAAATTAGTAATGAATGTTGGAATTTAATCAAAGAATTATCAGAAGCAGGCACATTTGTAACATTTCTCAAATCAATTGAAGGACATGATATTAAAAATTTAATCAATAGTGTAGATGACCACCCAGATGAACAACTTATCCAGGAAGACACTGTTTCATCATTAATTGAAGTGAAAAAATTTTTAATACCACTGTTGGATGTTGCCAAAAAGAGATCAGTGAAAGAGTTTGTTGAAGAAATTGGAAAGGTTATTGTAAAAAATCCAAAGCTAACCAATAATATTGTTTTGTGTAATAATAATTGTATGGCCTTAGAAAATATGTATAAAAATATTGATCAAAAAAATGAAGTAACTAAGGAGAAAATCAAAAATGCTGTGATGAAAGGATCTTATACTTTTAAAAGAGATGCTAACGGAGATAAATGTAATGCATTAATGACATACACATCTGACAAAGTTCAAAAATCATCTTACACCTTTAATGATCTTCAAGATTTACGTGGCCATGCATTATTGATTGCAAAACCAACTGTGGTAAACCTTAATCTATCAGTTGAGAATGTATTGGAAGATGATCAAAATATTAAAAATTCCATGGATGTGTTTGTTGAACAAGTTGATGTGGCTCAGGATATAATAAATTTTTCATCAAAACTTGTACAAATTGGACATTTTGAATTCAGGAAATTTGATGTGACTGTAAAGGGAACAGATAAAATGAAAGAATTATTAAAACAATGTAAAGAAAAATTAAGAGAATGGTATGTAAATCAATGGTTATATAGTTATATATAAACTTGCTTAATAATTATCATTTATAAATAATATAATAGGGAGGATATCATGAACAAAGCACAAGAAAATCATTACTATTTAACATTTTTCCCTGGCCGACACATCCTTACATTCTATGATTATTTTTCAAATGTCAACAATCCTAATGTGATTGAAGAATGTCAAATACTTATTCGATTTGTAAATAGAAGAGCTGAATTACCTTCTGATAAAAAGATCATGGGGATTTCTTCTAAAAAGAATAATTACTATGATATCCTCTGTGAAATTGGTAAAAAATTACAACTTATTTTTGAAAAACTTCCTAAAAAAATTCGTCAGGTCAAAAATATAGATGATTGTGTAATATCAGATGTTGTACTTAATGGCAAATTATTTGTGGCAGCTTGTGATGAGGAATTACATGTTCCAAATATCATTATGTCATTATATGCTAATCACAGATCATGCCCTGAACCATGGCAACTTTTAATATGCACACCTTTAACAACCTCAGAAGAATTAACAAATTTTATTAAGCGTTGTTTTTTTGCAGCAAATAATGGGCATAAAGATCATTTGTTTTGCATAGCAAATTTAGAATTATTAGATTTTGAATTACAATATAACTTGGTTAAATTTATCAGATTGATGTGTAAACATGAGAAAAATTATTTGTTGGCATTGATTTGTTGTCGTGAGCCTGGAATACATCATCACATTTTAGATCAATTTTCACAAGATGTATGTGTAACTAATGGGCTGAATACTGAATCAATGAAAACAATATTCCATGATTTGTGTCCAAATGTGACTTCTTTATCTTCAGATCTTTCTGGGCAAGGAAAAACAGAATGGATTAAACAAGACAGTTTTGAAAAAGGAAAAGTTACTTGTAGTCTTTTAATTAGTGATGGTTTAAATTTTAGTAAGCTTGTTAGTCAGCTTAAAGAATGTAAATTACGAAAAGTAGAAAGTTTACACTTGAACATAGTTTCAGCTGAAAATCCTAGTGAAGTAAACATGTTTCTTTTTGAATTATTAATTTTAGGAATAGTTTCTAATAGTGTAGATATAGCTATTTTACCTGCAACTGAAATTTATATTGAGGTATCTTCAACAACTGAACAAAAATTATTAAACTCTATGCCAATTACTAGTTATTTGAGAAGGAAACATTTGTCATGGGATACCAATAACCTTGTAATATCTCAAGAGATCAACAGTCCAATTCAAATAGTATGTCATTATTTAAATGCATTTGATCGTAAGGCTATTGAAGAGATAGATATTCTTTTCAAGACCGACAAAAAAATTACAGTTCCTTTGCCTGTAAACATGTGTCATGGACTTATTACAAAATATTTCTTTAATCAAAATGCTGATGATGTCTCATCATTTAGATTTATAGAAATTTTTTGTGAATGTGTTTGCTGACCAACTAGTAAGATTTTCTTCAAGTCAATACTTTCAAGTTGAAAATCTTAAATTAATGGTAAAAGAAAAAAATATTAGATCAACTTTATTTGATACACTACTTGAAATATCAAAGGATTTTGCAACCAAATCAATCAAAACTAAAGCTGCTCAATTAGAATCAACAAGTAATTCTGAAGCTGCAAAATTGGGTACAATAGTTAAATGGGATGATTCAAATCATCTACTTGTATTTTTTCATGTCACAATCACCTGACTCAATTTGTGCTCTATATCGTGATAAAACAAAGGTTCCAAATAATGTAAAGATGTTGCTGAAGAGTCAATCAGTTGGACAAAAAAAGGATGAGCTTGATGATTATAATCAATTGGAACCAAAAGTTCTTCTAGACATATTAGAAGGTCTTGCAAGAAGAACCTTACCTGATATTAAACATCCTAATTATGCACTCTCCACTGACAATTTAATCAAAATGGCACTTATACTATTAAGAGCTCATGCAAATATTCCAGTAATTGTTTGTGGTGAAGCTGGTTGTGGAAAGGTAAATTCTTGCTGATTTCTTTATAATTATTTTAAAAAACAGAATTAACATAAGAATTTTTATTAAGATATATTATATATTAAAAAAAAATTTAATAATAATTACCTCAGCTATTTTCACATAAATATCTATATCCTCGATATTATCAATATATGGTTTGACATGTTCCTCAACATTTTTAATAAACAACTCCATACCTCTTGATTTATATTTTCCATCAAGAACATCAAGAAAGCCATGTTTTGGATCAATAACATCAGCAACAGAAAATATTTTCAACCATTCAAATGAACCATTGATAAAATTATGTCTGATTAAAAGATTAACTGCTTGTTTTATAATATCATTAGTGTTTGATGGAAAAGTATTATCATATACAGTTGTCAAAGAATCAATTAATGTGCTTGAGTCAAAGTCATTAGGCAACTCATAAAAATTGAACTTTGAAGTGTTTTTTCGCTCATTAATAAAATAACCAAGCAAAACACACAAGAAAAGTTTCTTTTCTCTTTCTTTACTAATTGGCATACACTCCTTAATAAAGTCAATTGTAGTAAAAGTGACAGTCAATTCACGATATTTTTTTAGTAGTTTTTGATATTCCATTACTTGATTTTTAAAATTTTCTTGTGTTACAGATCCATGTATAACTTTAATGAAACTAAAATCTCTAAATCCCTCATAAAATTTATGTGAATTGCTAGTATGCCAAACATCAAATTGGTTTTCAGTAAAATTTTCTAGAATTTGATCATCTGTTTCATCCAAACCCTCAAATTCAACACTTCTTCTTGATAACAATGATTTGCCAATTAATGCATATTTGTATCTGATTTGAATGTTGTCTTCAACATAACTGACAGGAAATTTAATTTCTTCTGACACCCAGTATGTTGTGGATTCTTGATGAAGCTTGATGATTGGGTCTTTCTGAGTGCCAAGTTCGGGCACATTACCAAGAATAGTAGGTGTTTCATGATAAGAAATATTTGGTGGTAGATGTAAATGAAACTTTGTTACAAAAAATCTTGTAGCCATGCTTCCTGATAACTTTCTAGAAGCGAATTTGCCAGATAAGTCATGATTTTCATCAATGAAATTTTATATATTAATATGTATTTTCCCGCGAAAATCATCCGCGATTTCCGATTTAATTTCTAAATATGTCCAATCCCCGGATTATTTTAAAAATGAGGTAACGTCCGATTATAAACCACTGGGTTTATTAATGATTGTCCAACTGTGAATTGTTTTTGTTCGTCATTACATTATATCAATGATAATAATGATGGACCGAAACTACCTTGCTTAGTAGGCAGAATTTGCTGAAATTAATTGACATAAACTTTGGCGAAACTAATTTAATGGCTGAAATTGGGAAATCGTTTTAAGTTTTTTAAAATAGTGTTTAAATTTTGGGGTGGGGTGTTTGGATACAAATTCTGATTGGCTAATTGAATTTCACGCGCGTGAATTTCAAGTTCACAGATTTTCAAAATCTTTTCCACAAGACAATAATGAGTTTCACCTTGTCTATAAAAATTGGCAGTCTAATAAATAATTAAGAACAACCAGAAGTTTTCACAGGCTCATTATTTACCACAATTCGGATTTGTCAAGAATAGAAGTCATGTTCGCCATTTTAGTATGACTCAGATTATCAGGAAAGAAGCAACTAAGCCTGACATCAAAATACCTTCATTTAGTGAATCAGCCTCAAAATTTGCTTCCGTTGAAGAGGAATCATTGAGAATTAAAGTTTACAAGAAAGATTCAATGCGTGATATATTAGAAGCAGGTAATAAAATTTGTGTTTAATAATAATTTAATATTTTATCATCGCATCTAAACAAAGCTAATCCTTCGATATTTAAAAAAGATATTGATCATAACATTATTCCAGAACTTCGAGATTATATCCTCGCGGAAATTAAAGATAGTGAATATGTAAAATGTTTCAGTACCTTAATTATCCAAGCTTAATAACAATCAAAAGAAGTTTCTTGGTAAACTCAACCGCATACTTATGAATGAGAATGTTCGAAAAGGTTTTGAAAAAGATGTAGATGAATTTGTGTTATTTTTGTGTGATCAAGAGAATTTTGATGATGGAGTGGATTTAAACTTGGGACCATGCACTTTAGAATTAGAACTTAACAAAAAAGAAATTGCAGCATATGCCGATATAAAAGGCAGAAGAGGCGCTGAAATAGTATGGGTGTTGTGTGAAGCTAAACATAAAGGATCCAGAAAATATAAAAAAGGGAAAATTCAGTTAGTGGTATGCTGATTGCAGCAGCTCAATGGAATTATTTCATGTTGGACAAAGTATATCCAGCAAAAATTGTGGGTATTAGAGTAATTGGAGGCAAGTTTTGTTTTTATTCACCTAATATCAATCAATCTTACCTCGAAGGTCTGCTGAGAGGTCTTTCCCGAAATGATTTACATGTTCACAAATATCCCAAAGGATATGGATTTTGTATTTCAAATGCTAATGAAAGACGAGAGGTGCTTGCATGTTTATCTGATCTCAAACATTATGCATTAAGTCTTTCACCAAGGTTGGATAAATATTCTGAAAAGAATTTAATGTGGCTAGCTCTTTTTGACGGTTTGTAATTTTTATAATTACCTTAGGATATTACTATCAATAAAATAGACTCTTAGTCTATCATGATCACATTGTTCATTGTGTGTTTGAGGTGCTTATATCACATACAAACCTACATATTCTTAAAAACTCAAAACCCAATTTTGGTGAAAACTTTATTAATTTCAATGATATAATGTGTTGATATGTGGTATACGCATTGGTATGGAGGGTGATAACAGTTACTTGTAAAAGATATTAAAGAACACTTCAACAAACCTGAGAAAAAACATATTCACATTACTGTATTGTCAAACCGCCTGGTTCCTCTGGTGTGTTTGTAAGCGAATCTCACAAGGCATTACAAATCAAGTATTGAGCAGAAGACAGAACTGCGTTTGAACAATATTTTTCTACTGATTATACAAATTATCATTATGTGAAGTTGGTGAACGGAAGTTGTAAAAGAGATTATAACAATAAAACTATATTTTTGTGATTTTGACCAATTTGCATTCCATACATCCATCTATTGGAATGGTTTTATACTATTGCAACCTTGACCAACTTTGGCTTTTTTATTTCTTTTATTTCTTTCCATTGGCATCAAATTAGTTAAGATTCCTCATATCTTTCACAAGTTACAATCACTGAAATTCATGAAATGCTCTGTTTCAAATAAAAAGCAACCTGGTACTATCAAGCAGTAGTACAAGAAAAATTTTTCTTACAGAATAAGGACACTTATGTGTCTGACTTGGTAGAACGTAAAAGCGCGATTTGATCTAGTAATACATCAAAGTGTGAAATTTTTCGATCCAGTAATATGCAAAGGTAATATATCAAAATGTGAAATATTTCAATTCAGTAATACGTCAAAGCTTAGGCCAATTTTTTATATGATAATACATCAAAGCATAGGTCGAATGACACGAAGTGGTAGTACCGAAAGCATCAACTATGCAAGAAGTGTACCAGAACTGCAAAACATAGCGCACTTTTGGTATACTTTGACGTATTACCAAGTGAAGATAACAATTCGGCATTACGTGCTTCATCCTCAATCAGTCTTCGAATGCATCACGCAAAGTCAGATCACGTATACTATTTCAACACTATGTGCTTCATCCTTCAATCTAATGTGACGTGCAAAGCCAAAATACAGATTACCATTTCGACACTATGTGCCTCATTCTTGAATTTAACATACAAGGCAAAATAACGGATTGCCAATTCGACACTTTGTGCCTCAAGCCTCGCAATCGAAAAAATTGGCTGATCGATCGTCTAGGAAATGTGGTAAAGGAAATGTGCTTTTTTTTTTTGCGAGTTAGTTTTTTCGGCGCAAAGTAGGTTTTTGCGTTAATTTATTATACTACTCGATTCAATGATAATCGTGTAGTTTTCCGCCAAAATTCATCCGCCAATTTGAATTCGCATGAGAATATTTGACATCCGCCAAAATTAAAATATCCGAAATTAATAATCATTTAGCAAAGAAAACAAAAGGAGAAGAAAACAAAATGACTCAAAAGAAGCTCTTGGGCAAGTGTCATTTATCATATGAGTGGTTGTTTCCATCATTCGGCGTCCTTCTATTAATTTCGAATATTTTAATTTTGGCGGATGTCGAATATTCTCATGGGAATTCAAATTGGCGGATGAATTTTAGCGGAAAACTACACGATTATGATTTAATGTACGAGTTGGCTACGAAATAGTCTAATTTATGAAGAATAGACCTTTTAAGGTCCATAGAGGGCTTGCAATTACAAATTTCTTTTTTTTTTTGATATTATTCTAAAATAAAGAGCTGTTTTTAAACCTGTACTTGTCCATTGGTGTAACATTTTAACCATATTTAATATTTTATCAATGGCAAAAATTGATCATACTTGGTCTCAATGGACCTGGTCCTGATAATTTATCCGTTGCCCTTTTTACAAAAGAATTAATTTTTGAATTCTACTTTTACTTTAATATTTTTTAAACTCCTGAAATGAATTATTTGAATGGGTTATGTTTATTTTACTTGTATTTCAATGAATTTCTAAAATTAATTTTGGCATTCACGCCTACAAATACAGTTTGGGGACATAACGCTGTTCTTGCTGATTCTAAAATATACTTCACAGGTGGACTGATTCCAAATCTAACAGATTGGAAGACTCTTCGTGATTTTCGTAATTATGCTACACAATCTAAAGAATTTTATTATTTAGATGTATCAAAACATTTTAAATTAAATGAGGGTGTAATGCCTTGGGCGGATCTTGGTTCTGTGTCAGGAATTCCTCCATCACATTCTTGGAGCGCATTTTCACTTTGCGGACCTGATACTTTAGTGATGTCTGGTGGAGATTTTGGTTATCCACATATCAGCAATTCAGTTTTCATTTATAATATCAAAACACAGAAATGGAACATGCCAACAACTACCAATCAACCTTATAATGAATATAGCCGTTCTGTTTGTGACTTAAAGACTGGAAAAATGTATATATTTCCTGATACTAAAATCTTTAAACGTCTGAGAATTAATATTTTGGATACGATAACATTAACATGGAGAGCTGTTTATAGTAATTATTTCATAATAATTGGTTATACTGTCACTTTATTACCAAATGGTAACATTGCTCATATAGGAGGTATTCATTATTATGGTTCACCAGTATCGATGTCAAAGGTAATAATGAAATAAATCATGACAAAATAAACAAAATCATGTGACCATCTTTCTTTTTCTAAAACAGATAATTTTATATAATATAAATGATAATAAGTGGAATACTACAGTAAGTCCCGTTACTGAAAATTTAATTGATTTAAGCTTTTCTAAATTTATTTATTGTTATTTATTTTAGATTGCTGTTGGCTATTTGCCTACATCTCGAGGTGGCCATTCTTCTGTTTTAAGTAATAATAATTCTTTTTAAAATTATTTTAATTTATAAATAAATTTATATTAATTTTTCTTTTAAAAATATACTGTATATAGCAAATGATGGTCGTATTATTGTATACGGAGGTTATATTAGTCGAACCACATTAACTCCAGTTTCAGATGATCTTGTAATATTAGATACAACAAGTAATATTTTTACCTGGTCAAGAGCAAATGTTTCTACTATTTCACCTTTCCCACGTATGTATCATTCGGCTGTTCTAGTTGACAAGTATATGATTGTATTTTTTGGAAGAAATAATATTTATCTGCCATCACTTGAAATGAATGAAGTATATATTTTGGATACAAGTGATAAATTTAATTACATGTGGATTAATGAATTTATTCCTATTCCAACAAATCCCATTCAAACAAAACCAACTAATACGGTTTTAATAGTAGCAATTACAATTTCAATAGTTTTACTTATTTTAGGAATAAGTTTATTTATTTTTTGTTGTAAAAAAAATCAAAATCATTATTTAACTATATCTGATAGTATAGAAACTTGATTTATTTGAAATTACCAAAAATCAAATATATTTAAATTGTTAAAAATCTTTTTGCTTTTACAATGAACATGAACTTGTGGTAGGGACTTTCATAACTCCCAATTTAACATTTGCCACTAAATCAATTCAATTTCTCATTCCAAACCAATCTTAAAATATTCTTTGCCAGATACTTGTTGCTTGCTTCATGTTTGTTTATGTTTAATACTGCCAACACAACCGTCTATTGATTTATATCAACAGATAAATACTAAACATCATTCCCAAGCCAACCCTAAAAACACCAGACATTTTTTCATTACCACCATCATCATACAAATCATCACCTTCGCCATTATCAAAATAACTTTCAACATAGTCAGTCGTATCTCCATATTCATCTTCTTCTTGTAGTAATTGATCTTCTCAAACTCCTCCTCGCCACCCACCACCTGAAAAAATTTCAAGCAATTTTATTAATAATATAATTGGATATGTTGATATTGATGTGAAGCTTTATAAAAATTGCCTTTAATTTTTTTGTTCTCTCTTGATCTTCTTCTTCTTCTAGCAAATCACCAAGAGTTTTATCCAAATCAAAATGAACCCTTTTATTATTTTCTATTAAATAGTCGGAAATGTTTTAACAAATACGTTGAAATATAATTGAAATAAATAAAGCTGATGCTTGTACAAATATGTATATGCATACATACCTTTGAGTACACTGGTCGAAGCTAGCGAATCATTCTTAATAATCCGTAGTTCTTCAGGAAAAAACTTCAAGTCTAAACATTAAGCACACATATTTGTTATTTGATTAATTTTATGAAGCAATAAATCTACTATTCTCCTTCCTTCTTTTTTTACCTGTTTTTAGATCTTTTAAAGAATGATTTGGTCGTTTTCGCTTGAATTGATCAGAATATCTTTGGACCTCTATATATTAAAAAACTAATTATGATTTGATATCAAACATTAGTTGAATAATTTTATTATATTTTTTACCTACTGTCGGTGAAGGTGTAGTAATGTAGAACGCTGAATCTTTGAGAGCAGCCTTATAACTAAATAATGCATTAAGAGTATGTTCTTCTTCTTCAGTTGGCCTCAGTGGTTCAAGTGATTCAATGTCAATATTCCCCATAAAATAAACAAAATATAATTTTCAAATTTCATAAAGAATTTGGGGATTAAATCTGATTCATGTGCCACAACGATGCATTTTTTTAAGAAAATTTGCCGTGTTACTGTCTTTTTCTAAATTAGTCGTGTGACATTTCCCTGAGGCTGTTTTTCTATATGTGAAAATAAATTCGAATTTCGTGTCACATGAATTTT